GGTCTGGTACCGGTTCATTCCGGTCCGGTGACCCGATTCCGGTCCGGTGACCAGAAAGGCGTGAAAGATTATTATCTTGCAATAGTTATTGTACGTATATTCTTTAAAGGACAATAAACCATCTAGAGTTATTACATGTAGTTCTATCAAAGATACAATAAAGCCTAAAATATATATACAATTAAATTTGTTACTTCTAAGTATGCTTTGTATTTAGTAGAATCGAAAAAAATGACTTTTCAAGAAAGAATCATCCGAACAAATAAACAATTTGTTCAAAAAAAATTATGAAAAATAAATTTAATTATAGATCAAAATCGATCCCATCTAAACACAAATCATTTATGCATAAGTAAAATAAACTAGGCCTTAAAAAGACCTAAAAAATGTCTTCACCCATCAAGGTGGAAACTCTACCTTTATATTACAGCTATCTAATAGGAATTCAATTTATCACTCATGGATTAACTTGATCCCATAACATATTATCTCAAACCATTTGATACTCACTTGTGATGGTGTAGTTAAACATGTTTGATTTATAAAATAATAAAAGAAGTAATTTAAAGTTAAATAATTTTATAATAACTAGATTAAAAGTAGTTTAAGTTTTGTCGTGCATCAATTTTATAGCCGAACTTAAAGTTTGAAACCTACTAAATTTGAATAAAAACATAAGAATTTCATAATTTAGACTACATTATAACCTAATTTTTGCAATCAAAGATTTCAATTTGAACTATATATCATTCAAATTTTGATCTTTCATAGTAGCTAGGCTCTAATATATATCAATTCTTGATCCAAATAAATTTTAATATTTAACTCAATATCTTAAAGGGATCCCTAACTTAAATCAGGGTGCAAACAAAAACACTTTAAAAATCAACTATCTTATGTAGGTTCATTATAGTCAAAATAATAATCATTTTGTAAATCTCTAATTAAAATAACTAATTTGTTCACATCATTTAGTTTAACATTAATTAGAAACATGATAGTTATTCAAAAACACCTAAAAGGCTAATATTTGTCAC